TATACATAACATTAGCACCGGTAAGTGTGATCCTGTGAAAATAGTTAATTCAACATCTGAGAATGGGATGGCTCGAAAAACCGAGGCTGCAGATGACAGCATTGAAGAAGAAGAAAGTATAAGCTTGAAATGTGGTAATAACTCATTGGCTTTAGCCTTGTCATCCGATTACAATGTGCGTATCTTCAGTGCAATAATAAATATCTTTATTGCAAGGTGGGATCTATACAAATATTGGCTTATAATATTTAAAAAATGAAGTGATATCACTTACTAGATATAATAGTGGTTAATTAAAACTTAAATGTTTGGTCAAACCATTAATATTTTGTTTACTGCAAATTGTAAATTTAGAAAATGTCAGTAGCATCATTTTAGGTCTTGATAGATGATAAAAATATTATAGAATAAGTAATGTATTTTTGATAACTCAATGTATATTTGTTGGTGCTTTTATGAGTTAAAAAAAGTTTTAAATCAGGATAGTAAAAAACGTTTTTATTCGATTTATTATGCGCAGGCACAAATTAATTTTATAAAAATGACCCTACGGCTAAGTTATGTTAAGACACTACCTATACTCACAACAGCTAAATACCTAACCTAAATCATTATTAAACTAAAGTTAAAAACATTATTAAACTTGGACCACCACCTTATAATTTGAATAAGCAACAAAAACAAACAAACAAAGTTTTATTTATACCCGCACTAAAAAAATTGTTATTACTAAGTTATATAGTTATTATCCTCATGTAAGTGACTGTATTGTCTTATTGAGAAATAAAGATCTTTAAACCGAAGACAAAAACTGGATCATAATAATCGGCTCGGTAAAAATCATAAATACTACAGACACTATTTAAAACTGTACCTTGCACAGATTTTATAACAAAACTGTGTAAAACATATTATATCAAATAAAAACGCTGTTTATTTTTTACAAACTTATTTTTGTTTAACTGACGTGAAAGTTAAGTTTATAATCGCCTATTGACTTATCGCTGCTTTATAATGATAATCTGCTTTGTACGTGAAAATGAGCTAACAGTTCATCTGGTCGAAAGTGGCTACTGCAGTTAAGGATACCAACAAAAAGACCACAGATACATTGTCATTTTTGAAGACTAATATTTTTTTATTTAACTGGCTTTACGGCTCTAGGTAATAGCCATTCTCAGCCTATCATTTATTTCAGAATCTTCATTTTATATATTTTTTCTTCACAATATTCTGATGCGTCAGATTGCGAAGTTTTTGGGAGATTTTGACGACAGCTCAACCCTGTTGATGACGACAGCCACTCAAGTTCATAAGGCGCCCAAGCGATCAAATTAACTTCAGGTTTATGTCAACATCAAAGCACTTCTTTCGTCGTTTTCTCTAATAGTTCACACGCGCAGAAACTTAATTCAAAAAATCACATCACTTTTACGAATTAAAATCCACTTCAAACCATTATTCAAGTGACAAAACAGGAGCAACAGTCCGTCATCTGCCAAGTTCCCACTAAAACTACTTTTGAATACTAAGATGGAATGTTTCCTACTGGCTCACTATATCGTTCAGATTGCAAAATTGCTGTTGGGCGACAGAAATATGTAAGCAACATCGTAGCTACCCTGCTGTCTTAAGCAATAGAGGAATCCTACCACCTAGTTAACGTTATATTTGTAGTAATCTATTTTGAAGGAAATACAAATAAGTTTATTTTTTATTTAACTACAAACAATGCTATTTATTGAAGCGATAGCCTTTTGTTTGATTTCAAAATTGAGACCGGTCGAAATGCACCATTGTCATATTTATTTCAATAATTAACAGTCTGTTTTGTGATTTCGTTTTCTTTTTCAAAACACACTGTGATAGTAAAGAACGAAAATAAATAATTAAGTTATCATCATTCATCACCATAACAGCGCTTCACAAGTCCACTGCTGATCATAGGCCTTCTCCAGAATGTTTCAACCCCATCGGTTGTCAGGTCTTCGAGCTATATGGCCAGCCCATTGCCACTTCAGCTCACTATACTTACTAATAATATAAATAAACAATTATTTAGGTACAGTATATTTCACTAGCGTAAAATTTTATAAATTTTTATAAGGTCTTTATTGAAAGGACATTGTATGTCGACAAGTTTATGATATGATAATATATTGTAATGGTGTGTTGACTCGCTCAATTATAAAGGGAGTTGATGAATACTGATAGGTTAGGAACATGCCTTCTGGTGTAAAAAAAACACAAGGTCTGTGGTTATTGTTGACGGGCCAATGATGGATAATGTGTGAAGGATCATAATGATATTGTTTGTGACCATGAAAAATGTACAGGTTAGTCGTCTACATTATAGCTGTTGGAGGAATGGGTCGAATTGACTGTGGAAGAACTACGCTCCATCCTACTTCTTACTAATTCTATCCTACTAGTCCTGATTATCGTATTAATAATGATATAAATGTTAGTGTTTGTTTGGATATTTGTATGAGTGTGGCTCAGTTACGCAAAAATTAATAAATGATTGTTTGAAATTAATTTCACGTTATCGTTGAGCAAATACATGTTTAATGTAGTCTATAAATGTATATAGCAGTAAAGCGTCCTTCAAATTTTGTCAAGTATACGCGTCCCCATAGATTGCCTCATAGGGTGGATATTTGCCATTGTTACCACACTTGGCAAGTGTATTGGCGACCGCAGTTTTTTATTGTTAGTCGTTATTAAGAAGAAGCTGCTGCCCATCTTTGATTTGTTTTCCTCTGTCCACCCTTATGACATCCACGGCACGTTAATATGTGGTAGTGGATATTATATATATATGACATGATTAGTATATATGACAGAGTGGATAGGGATGTACTATGGCAAACACTGAACTCATTTGGGTTGAGCGCTGGCTTGATACAGGCATTGGAGTCTCTTTATAGGGACTCTAGTGCTTGTGTTGGGATCAACGGGGTCTACTCGGACTGGTTTGACATCCATAAAAGTGTCAGACAGGGCTGTGCGGCTTCTCCGTGGCTGTTCAACCTATTTATGGACAGTTGTTTGCAAAATTTTAAAGTTGAAGAATGCGGATTAAGAATGGGTGAGTTAACCGTCAAATGCCTTTTGTACGCCGATGATAAAGTTATCCTTGCGTCGTCGGCGGCCGAGTTGCAAATGATGGTTACATTAATGAACAGATCATTAAAAGAAAGGGGTATGAAAGTGAACGCAAGTAAGACGAAGGTTATGGTTTTTGAAAGAGAACAAAGTAAAACGATTTGTGAAATAAGAATAGAAGGGGAGTTGATCGAGCAAGTAGATGAGTTTGTATATTTGGGCTGCGTATTTAGCAGGGATAGGAGATATGATAAGGATATAGAACGACGAGTGAATGCGGGAAATAGAGTAAATGGGGCCCTACACTCTATTGTGAAGAGTCAAAATGTGTCAAAAAAGGCACGTATGGCAATTCACAATGCTGTGTTGGTCCCTACTTTAACGTATGGTAGCGAAAGTTGGGTGGGGCAGAAGAAGCACGAGAGTAGAATCAACGCAGTAGAAATGCGGTCCTTAAGGAGTATGTTAGGGATGAATCTGAACGACAGGGTAAAAAATTGTGTAATAAGAGAAGAGTGTGGTTTGCAAGATGATGTTGTGACCAGGATTAAGAAAGGAATGCTTCGGTGGTTTGGTCATGTGGAAAGAATGAATGAGGAAAGAGTGACAAAGAAAGTTTATGTTGCAGAAGTGAATGGCAGAGTCGGAAAGGGACGTCCTAGGCGAAAATTTATCGACCAAATTGGCGATTTATTGAAATCGGGCCAAATTAGGAGTACCCTTAACCGACGAGCATGTATGTGTAGGTGTATGGATGTGAAGGAGGCGGGAGAGGTGTGTCAGGATCGTGCCAAATGGAAGTCTGTAGTCTCTGCCTACCCCTCTGGGTGACAGGCGTGAGTGTTTATGTTATGTTATGGATATTCTTACACCGCCAATACACGATGAATTTAGATACCATATCAAAAACAGATTTGCGATGTGTCTGTTCGTCACCCATATTTGTGTAACGTCGCTGCGCGTGCAGAAATCGCTATGTGTTTTTTTTTTCATTTTTTGTTTTTGATGCCATTCTGATCTTTAGGTCAATACTCATAGGCTACAAAAACAGATTTTTGTGTAAGATTCACGTATACAAAGTTACGAAAAATAGCCATGTGAGGTTCATACATTCAATGCGCGTCTAATATCAATATGTGCTTTAAATCACATAGCTAAAAAAGTTCATCGTAGTAGTAGACTTATGAATTGTGCCCGATATGTGATTCCCCGTACATAGCGATATTTTTCTTGACAAGTTTGACCAGTTCAGTCGTGTAAATAGCTCGTCGAGCGTCACATAACTGAGATTGTCTATTAAGTTAATCAGTGTCCTTCGAACTGTTCAACAAATCACACAGAAAAATTAGTGCAAGTTATACCTATAATTGTAAATTTAATAACTTTTTGGGATCGTTGATGAACAAATATATAAATATACCCACCAAGTAAGTACCTACATGTTTTTACTAATAAATTCCTCTTAGGGTTGCTTTTGGTTTTAGTTTGCTAAGATTGTGGTGACGTATTTGGAAAGTTTTTCCTGTTTAAACTATTTTTCATTAAAAATGTGTATTACTATTCTTACATAACCAATATAAATTTACTATTTATCTTAGGAAAACCAATCTTCTAAAGATTGCTTTCAAAAAGCATTTTTTATGAACAATAACTAATATTTCCCTAACTAAAGTATGACTTAACATCTTAATGTAATGCTTTACTATGGTACAAGAATTTGAATGAATGAATGAAATTTTTATCTAAATATCTTAATATTAATTTTGCTATTGCTTACTAACGCTTTATATTTTACCGCTTTTTAGGAACTGAACATGCCAAGATTTTGGAGAAGTAAACAGCTTGTATTGTTATGCGTAGAAGGTCAACAGTAATCGATACACCATTTAGCAATGGAGCTAGAAGAAGAATCATCTTCAATATTATTTCCATCACCTCCACCTCCAGCTTCATCGATAATTATTCAAGCTGTTGACGAAGGTGAACACGCCGACGTTGGCATGAGTACTTTTACCGACCTCAGAAATATGATTTGTACTACAAATGCGAAATTAGCTTCAGGGATTACAGGTACAACTCAAAGTTTAATAACTACTACTAGCATAACATCTGATTCCTGCTTAGAAATACAAAATGATAACGAGGCAAACATTAATAACACACCAGTTCCTGCTAACGTTATGCTGCAGTTGATTGAACAAACTGAATATTTTGAACCGCTCTTTGAAAAAGAAAATATTTGCACTTCCCCCACAAAATGAGGAAGAAGAGGCTCTTAGTGAGAACAGAAAAAGAAAGAAGGCTCAAAAATTAAGGCTTTTAGGCATAACTTATACAGGGCAACAAGTTGTTAGAGAAGAAGATAAAATTAGAATACAAGGAGTTGCGAAACCAAATGGAAAAATGAGAGAAAAGCCTTGTGAACATGGAGCGGCTAAAATTTCCGAAAGAATTTTTGCCTGCGCTGCAATATCCGATAATATGCGCGTAGATATATTTCAATATTTTTGGCAACTCCCTACATGGGATGCTAAGAAAGCCTACGTAAGCGGCCTTATCCAACCAAGGTAGATTGTTCGCCGTAGAAATATCTCCGCTGATGTTAATAAAAAGAATTGCGGGTTTGATTGCTATTTACCGGGGCTTGACGGTATTAAACTAGGTGTTTGCAAGCAGTTATTTTTAGCCACATTAGACTTAAAAAAAGATGTTCTACAGTTGTGGATAAGGTCGAAGTTCGACATTGATGTAACAAATAGTGGAGCGATTAACATAGTCAGAAGAGTAGCTGCTGATAGTTCTAACCGGGCTGGTACCAGGGTTCTTAGGTCTGAGTCAGTTATGAAATGGCTTGAAATAATACCAAAGGTACCCAGCCATTACTGCCGAAGCAACACTAGTCGTGTTTATGTGGTAGCGTCTTTCGAGTCAATGACACACATGCATACGGTCTACACAGCTTGGTGCCAAGAGAACAACTATTCTGCAGTACAAAGAAAACGGTTTCAGGAAATTTTAAAAGATAATAAAATTTAAATTTTTAAGCCACGGAAAGATCAATGCGATCTGTGTGTTGGGCACAAAGAGGGAAACATTCCTGAAGCTATGTATACACTACACATCACGAAGAAAGAGGAAGCCTACTGTGCTAAGTCTATGCTACTCAGGAAATGTCCGACGATGTTGTGGTTGTATCAATGGATATGCAAAGCGTGCTGCTGTCTCCTAAACTTCACGTTTCTGAGCAATATTATAAAATGAAATTAGCTCTGCATAATTATACGTTTTATGTAAAAATACTAAGGATATATATTTATACGTTTGGCATGAAGGAGAGGGAGGAATAACAGCGAATAATATTACGAGCTGCATCATTAACTTTTTAGAAGAGTATTGTGGAAACAAAAAAGAAAGTAATTCTTATTTCTGACGGCTGTGCATATCAAAATTAAAATAAAGTTTTATGCAGTGCCTTAGCTAATTTAAGTGCTGTGAAAGAGCTTACCATTGAGCAAATTATATTAGAGAAAGGGCATACAATGATGGAAGTGGACAGCGTCCATTCCACTCTGGAAAAAAAGTTTAAGGCACCAATTTTTACACCAATGAATTATGTGTCCAGGATGAGACAATGTAGGCCCTCGCAACCCTACGTTGTTCATTATCTAGATTTTAATTTCTTTAAAAACTATGAAGAAGTGCCTGGCAATTTTACCACAATAAGACCAGGCAGAAGGACTGGTGATGCCATTGTTAATGATATCAGAGGACTTCTTTACGTCAATGGTGAAGTGCAATATAAAGTACGCCATTCTGATGAATGATGAATGGGAAGCTTTTGGGAGAATTAATAGTAGAGAACCAGTAGCACCTGCAAGATTATATAACAGCCCCATCAACATAGATGTAACCAAATATAATCATCTACAAGGTCTGAAGCAGTACATGCATCGTGACTATCATTTTTTTATGATAATTTAAGTCATTAATTTACCTAACACATTTTTGTAATGTATTTTTCATTCATTACCATATATATATATATATATATATTTATATTTAATTTTGCTACAGCGGATATTTGTTAATTGTGTCATTTCTTACTGTGTCCGACAATTTTCTAAATAAATATAGAAAACAGCACATATATAGTAGGCGATACGACTTCCATTTGTCGTTATGTGCTCTGTGGACAGTTAGCGGATATTTATGACTCTAATTATAAACGCTATGTGTAGAAATAATCGAATTCTTTTTTTTTTCTAGCTTTTTAATAAGGTATTTGAAAAAGATAGAAACGTTAAAATATGTAAATTGTGCTGTTACTATTGTCATACAAAAAAGTATTATAATGACTCACACACAACCTGATATAATCAGTATTTTGTCTCTCCTGAAAAGTAGGGTAAAAACACATAGCCAAAAATGCACGCGCAACGACGATAAGCAATCCTGTTGGCGGCTATCACAGACGTACAGTGTCGGTAAAACTTACCGCTAAAACCTTAGTTAAAAGTATACTTACACTTCGCTTTGACTGTTACTCAAATCAATGGATACAGGTAGCTCCGGGTTGTTTTGCGGTATTCCTTAGGGATGGCATATTTTTGAAGCATTATTCGGGAGTGAAGTTGTAATAAGTGTCTAAAAGAAATATTTCCATATTACATAAAAGAACTACATACGTCTTATTGCAAAGTAAAGGCTTTCCGTCACATCTGAGAACTTAAAAGAGCAGAAAAGATTCCTGCGTGATCTGTTGGCAGACTTTTCATGTCGACGAAATTTTATTATTTCCAGACAATCCGGTATTCTCAATTCTCACACGTTCATCTTCACTCCGTGTTACTTAAATTACTATATTAAATTGAATTAAATTACTATACTTAAACTTCTATATATACTATACACACTTAAATGACGACTACGTTGTGCAGTGGCTCAGCTAAGTATTGCGGCGATGAGGGCCGCAGGTTCGAATCCCGCACGGAACTAGTATTTTGTATGGTCCAGAAGTTATTGTTTCAGGGTTGGAAGTTGGTCCTTATGCAATTTATGTTTGTAAACTGTCTACACGATACTGAAGAAAATTTTTGTGTGGTAAGTTTGTTTAAAAATTGTCAAATGTAATTTTTACAGCCATCTTTTAGCACTAGCATGATAAATTTTATAATATGTTAATTTAAAATAAATGTATATAATATTTAAAAAAAATGGAAAATATCAGTGCGATAGGCTAGATGGCTGCATAAATTAACACTAATAACAAGGACAAATCGACCAAACAATTTCATTTATTTTAAACAATTAGATTTATTTTAAGCGTGGGATCCACCCATGCTTCGCTTGAGTCGAAAGTTTTTTTTAAATTTCGATGTTTGAAGAAAACCTCCAAGTTTTAATACAACATACAATTACTTCTGGATTTGGTCTCTATCTTTTTGTAAAATTTTATTAGAATCAATTCAGCCATTCCGAAGATGATCATGTCCAAGTAGACAGACTCAGCTCTAAAAATGGCAGTTATTTAGGTATTATAGACCAACACGTAAGTTTTATGTAAACGTATAGATTGATGACAAATACATAACGAAATAATTTGATGTGTTAGGTATATAGATATTAATCATCAATTTTTTTACGAAACTCTTATTTTTAGTAAATTACACAAAATATAAAGTTTTTCACGTTATATTTTTCTTAAAATTCTCTTTATATTTTCGTCGCTGGGCAATATTTTAAGCTGGAGTAATATTTAAGTAAAGAACATTTAATTTACCGGTTGTCTTAGCGCTAATAGTTTGTCTTGCGGATTTGCCACGTTTCTGCACAATTTATATTAACTAAATGTACAAATAAATCTTTTGAACAAATAAAAGTTTGTTTCTAAATATTTTAGTTGATGATTTTTTTAATTATTTAAGAATTTTAGTAAAGTACTATTAAAATAACTAATACAATGACACTGATCACTTAAACAAACCGTAGTGATCGTGGTAGGTGATTACGATACACGCATGGTGTAGTAAGACGTAAAAGAGACGAGGCCATGTCCAGCAGTGTATTTTTACGTGCTGATGACGAAGAAGAAAAACATATAAAACACCGTACAAAAAATTATTCACAAGTCACACTAACCCAATGCTAAGTAGACCGCGTCGTTGCATAGTGATTTAGCAATAATTTGAAGCGCTGAGGGCCGTGGTTCAAATTCCACTCGGAACAGATATTGTAAGCCATATAAAGGCTTGAAAATATTTGCTTCGGGTCTGGTTGTTTGTCCTTGAAAAATTTATGTACTTCTCCCACGTCCCCTCTCATATCTTCTCTTCAACCCTCTCCAATCTATTCGGCCCCACCTACCACAGGACTTTCTCTTTGTCACCCTATCCTATAAAAAAAAAAAATACAGGAGAAATTTCTAATGGGGAGGTAAGGTCTTTTAAAAAAAATTTAACCGAAAATACTAAGTAGATAACAATAGAATTACTGTCGCGAATCTACTTTAAACCTACATATATTTTTATATACAATCCTACCACCCATCTTTGCCATGAGATTTATATCTTTAACGTTGCTACGGAAACGGAAGAAAGCACTTAATAAACAAACATTATGTTTGAATTTAAAATCTTTCAAATTATATTTCTACGTTTTTTAAAAGCTAATGGAGCCATGGTCTGGAATCATACCAGCCTGATATCTAAAATATTAAAATATCTTTTGTTAAAATTTCTGAAAAACTATAGCATCTTTCTATATTGTTAACACACACAACACGCACACGCACGCACGCCCAAACGCACGAGCATGCACGCACACGCACACACACACACACACACACACACACACACACACACACACACACACACACACACACACACACACACACACACACACACACACACACACACACACACACACACACACACACACACACACACACACAAATACGAGAGCCATATTATTGTGATTCTAGCTGGATATCATTATGATAAGTACGTAATTAAGACCCCAATTACAAGTCTCCATGAATCATAGTATTAAAAGTATTGTTATTTCATATGTAGTGAGTAAAGTAATTTTCTTAGAATACGTAAGTTATTACGTGGCCGATATTTACGTGGTAGCCCATGTTGCAAATAACTGATGGAGGTAACACGAATTAGTCGGGTTACCTGGTAAGGACTACTCTTTCAGCGTCAAATAACAGCTGGATGCTGCTGTATTTCGAAAAATAGTATAAAAAATCGGAGATCCT